AAGTACTTTCCCATTGGTAAGATCATTTTGCCTTAGTGCTTTTGCTCATGTCCAAGAGGAAGCAGAGTTTATGTTAGTTCTTTTAATAAATTAAAGGTTCTTTTTTTTCCCCCTAAATATTTGCAGCCTTCAGAACACTTGAGTCTCTAATGGATCTGCTGTGTGTATTATGGCAATGATGAACTCAGGCTCTTCTCCCCCTGAGAATTAGGGTAAACTACACTAGATTATCTACAGTATTTTAAATTCAAGCCTTCAGGAAATGACAAAGGTGATTCTTTGCTTCAACTGCCTTAGCAGAATTACTAATTTCAAGCTATGAGATAGACTTAAATTTCTAGGGCTCACCCTGCAGCTGCCAGCTTTCATTTTACTTTTAATGAATTTATTTTAAAACAAATATAGTGGTGCTTTAGCTTCTTTTGTTAATTCTTTCCCCCTCACCACCAATTTTGCCTCCTTTATGTAACTGAGTATTTAGCTTCGTAAAATGATAACAACTGCCATGCAGAGAGCTCTGTGCATTACAGCTATGGGAGGTACAGCTACTCTGCACTGCCCACAAATTATAAATACAATATAGCATCCTTCTACTTTATTCAAAATTGTATGGATCTCATCTTCCCATATCCCCAAAGAATTTTTGGATTTTAGCTTTTTCAAAGAGTAAAAAAAAAGTAAAGTAAATGACAATAGAGAGCATTGTCCATTGTTTTCTTCACTGAAGTTTATAGTTGCACCCCAGGAGTTTCCCTGCAATTTAGAATTCTGTGGGGAAATGCTTCTGCCTCAGTCAAACTACCTTTTATATTTTTCCTTATCTAGAGGATACACACTGTTTATTCAAATAAGTGTTCTAGAAAAAAACATCCTATTGGAAGAATTTCCCCAGGTATTCCTCTCAACACTGACAACTACCAGACACATTAAACTCTCTTTGCAGGGAAGTTGCCACTGTAAAAAACACAATACATTGTATGGAAAACAGAAAACAAACTACTGGAGACATGCCAGGCTACATCTGCCCTGCTGAATAGATGAGTTCCTAATCTGTAATGAGTTTCCAATATGTTGGAAAAGGATCATGAGGTTTCTGTCCAAAAGACATTATCTTTAATTAAAAGACTACTCATTTCTATCAAGGAGAGCTTATTCCTCCTGATTTAAAATGCAAGCCCACCTTTCCCAAACCTAAGAATACTCTTCTAAATTAAAAAAAAACAACAAACCACCAAATAACTCTTTAATAAAAGCACAAAGCACCTGAATAGCATGTGTATAAAATCTGAAGATGCTGCCAGTCTCAGGGAAAAGGAAAGTAATCTGGACTTTTAATACCTTCCAGCCTCACGAGAGTGCTCTAAAAAATTTTTGCCATTTCCCTGGTGATGTAAAATATCTCATTTATCCCTTCAGACCTGAAAGGTTTCAAAAATAATACCTTCAACTTAATTAAAAATCCTATGTCTCTAAGTAAAGAGCCCAAGTCACTGAAACAGTCAAAGCTTTCATGAGAACAAATGCAATATTCATGTTACTCTAATCCTTTAATTTCTTAAAGAAAAAAAAAGAAGGGGATATGTCAAGGTTGTTCCATCAAGTTGAAATATTAACTCACTATGTCTTAGTTCCTACTTTCATTGTAAATTTATCTTTATTCTGCTTTTTCATATTAGGTAAAAAAAAATATTTGATATTCATCATGATTTAGTTATTAAACTGTCTCCAAGTCCCCAGAATTTTCTCTGGTAATGTTCAATTAAGAAAATAAATCTTTCATGGAAGTAGCATCTCCTTATCTGCAGACTTGACCTCTATCTGACTAAGGACAAACACTTCTTTTAGGACAATGTTTTGTCAAGCATGAATATCTAACAAGTAGAAGCAATCTGCATAAACTCCCAGATTTGCATCCACGATTGTTCTCCTTCCTGGCCACTCTGCAACAACACCACAAAAAAAAAGTCTAAAAAAAATGCCTGTATCATCCCTGCAAAGTAGATTCATCTTTTCTTCTTTTAAATACATTATTTAAAAGATGAAGGGAAACTTCACTACCTGATTCTGCACAACTGTGATCTTGAAAGATTTATTGCTCTTATGCTAAAATTGCCTGACCTAAGAAATGCTACCTACCATATTTAATGTGGGGTTTTGTCCTTTTGCTTTCTCATACATAACCATATAACTTCCAAACCCAAAATATTTTATTTTATAAAGGAAATTAGTGGATAGTAAATTACTTCTTTAGAACAAAGAATCAAAACCCCTAATCATGTTTTTCTGGTCTAGGAAGTAAAGGAGAAGCCAACAAATTAATTCCATTATAACACAGATTTTTATTTTCCCTTGTGTTCGTAATTTAAATGTTCTGCAGATACACAATGGTACTGTAGTTTTTAAAATATGTCTTCTATCAACTCTTGCCCCACGCATATGACACTGCCTTTTTCTTTAATGGGTTTGCACCTCAAAGCAAATAATAAAATTTTGAAAAATTTTGAAAGCCATCCTGCCACACCCGTTTGCAGAAGACTACACTGACCCTTTGTGATCTTTCAATGTCACAGACTTAACAGTATTAGCAAAGTCTTTAATAATATGCTTAATTTCTTTGGTTTAGTTCAAATCAGTAAAGCAAATCTCTTCAGATTAATTTATAGCAAAATAAAATTTTAATCTAGGTTTCTATGACAATTACTCATGTGAAACAAGACAGAGAAGTCAACATAAAAATATCTTTTCTTTCTCACACAGATTATTTCCTCTGGTGATAAACTGAAGATAAACTAAAAGAAGAGACACTTTATTAAAAACAAGTCAGGTTTCCCTTTCCTAGTGTGAATTTCCAAAATCATGGCTTAGTCAGAAAATTCTCTTGAAATAAAAATACTTCTCTTAAACCTCTTTTTATATGTCTGATACCATAAAGATTATTTTGCACGTTCACTTAGATTCAATGGCACTAAGTTGTTGCATTAGTTGGTACTAAACATGACAGTATGGGGTGACAATATTGAAGCAGGAACCATAAAGAATTACACAGCAGAGCATCAAGAATTAAATGAGGCAAATTTTATATTTCATTGTCTAAAATGTTAGACAATTGCAAGAGAGTCAAGAGTGCACTTACAGCTCCAGAAAGAGAAATCTTATAGAAAACAAAATAGAAGAGTGTAACTTCATAATACTATACATTTATGTGAAAGAATTTTGGAAATTTAAAGAAAAATCTGCCTTTTTCCCTAATTAAAAATAGGTTAGGTATTTGAAAAATGAACCTAACTCAAAGGAGAAACTTTTTTAAATTCTTTTTTAGTTTATTTTACTTTTTTTTTATTACAACTGAATAAGAGAAAGTATTCCTGTTACAATCAAAGTTGTCAGAGCTATTCAGTATTAAAAGAAATGGAACTAATGATGGTATTAACGACACAAGACTACATAAAGCACAAGATATTTACAGGACAATTAATCCCAACATTCTCCAACACCTCCACGTTGCTACATCAACATAGTCTGTGTCTCTCCTGCCCCTGGGACACTTAACATGCTCCCCAAATCCAGAAATATGGAACCCTGGCTGCAGTCCTGCACCCAGCTATGGGACTCCTTCACCAAAAAGCTTCAGGATCCATCAAAACCCTTCTCAAACTTCCATTACCAAAATCATCCTCATGTTAATCTCCTCATGTTCCAGAAAAATCACTGTCTTTTTCTTTACTGTAGTAAAAAACTGCTTTATTGCTCTCCCTTCTATCAACAGGTTCTCTGCACCACTGGTATCAATTCTCACTCTGGAGAGTCAAAATGATTTGTATCTAACTAAACCCCAAGCAATTGTTCTCAGCTCAAATTTATCTTTGAAATCAGCTGTTTACCTTTTTGTCCTAAAGAAGAGTTTGAGTGCCTGAAGGCTTACTGGAAGTCTTAAAAACTGACATCTTACCACCTGATAACTTTACATTCAAAAGAAGTAAAGAAGCCATATAAAAAGTAAAATCACTCTATTTGCATTAGAAATGTAGCAAAACAGATATAATGTTGGCATAGCATCAAAAACCAACTTTTTCGTGCAGCTGATTATGTAGAGTTAATAATTCTGTTTAACACAGGAAAGGGAAATGGGATCAGTTTCCAAGGACTTAATTTTTAAATTTGTGTGATATGCTATTTTACTTCTATTTTACTCCAAATTCTAAACTCTTATTTTGTTTTGTTTGTTTGTTTTTCTTATTCAGTACATAAAATATAGCCATGTCAAATTCCAACATGTGAATGAAACAAAAATTCTTTACAATTCTGATGACTGTAACATTCGAGTATGTCACCAAGAAATCAGTGAATTTACAGGCTGTTCCTCCATACATTTCCAGCATCAGAGACTTAGAAAATCAACTTTTGGAATAGTAATTTAACTGCTATTATAACATATTTAATTTGCAATTCCTAAAATTGCTAAAAGCAATGTTGGGAATGTCCCTCCCATTTTGTATTAGGTGACATACAATTATCCTTATAGAAGCACCTCTCTAATCAGTAACTCTAGAAATTCTGGTTCATTACTGGCTTAGGTTTCTGATTTTTATAACACTCTCCTTATTTTGTACATATTCTATAAGGAACACATGTAACATCTTTACTCTTCCACGGGTATAAAAAGTCACCCAAACGGTTTACAGCACAAATGCCACTCTCTGAGTTGATTCCTTTTGAAGTCAGGGGACAAAACCAGGCATTTAGAGGGCATGATTTATCTCATTTCAATCTGTGTGCCTCTAAGTGTCCCAGGAATTTTATTCTTTACGTGTCAGCCTCTCTCCATACAACAGTCTAGATGAAAATAAACTAAAAAGATTGCTGTGCATTGCAAAGATCGACTATGTGCACTGATGAATGACAAGATGTCACAAGAAAATCTACCACAACATTTGGAAGACATTGAAATGCAAAAATAAAATACATAAAGCAGGTCCACTGGAAGGGTAAAATATACCAACCTGATTCTGCCTTCTTTGTTCCTCCATGGCTTCCGAAACAGCCTGGGCAATCTTCTCTTTATGAGTATCACGTTCTGCTTCCCACATTTTTCTTTCTTCTGCATGAATCTTCTCCATATTCCTCCTCTCCTCCTCTACTGCTTTCAGAACAGCTTCCTGCACTGCTTCTTTCTCAGCCTTTCAAACAAATGAGGCACAACGAGATGACCAACACACCCAACACAAGTGCCTAACTCAAATACATTACCTTCTCCTAATGAGGTCTACGAGCTGATAAGATATTGGACATGAGCATTTTCACTTCTGAACTATGAACTTAAATTTGTCTGAAGCAGGTATTGCCTCCAGACAATGACTTGTGTAGTTACAGAAAGGAAAAGGAAGTTACAAGTAAGGCTCTTAAATTCCCCTCTACCAAAACTACAATATCTCATAACTAGTTTGCTTAGCACAAAAATCATGCAACAAAACCCACGTAAAAGTAGGCACACCATGGGCCTGCCATGATATTCCTGTGTAGGAGATATTCCTGTTCTTACCTACAAACATCTGAAGTGCCAAAAGTCTGAGCGTTTTCTGAGGCAAAGTAGCCACATAGATATATCTATCAGCATGATAACTATTGCATAATATCTACAAATAAATAATGGCAAACTGAAGTTCAAAATAAGCAAATATGGGCCAAAAACCCACATTTGCAAACCCCTCAATTTTAATAATCTTACGGGTCATTCCAATGCCCCTTGGAGGTGATTATAGATCTGGGCAAGTGAAGTCAGAAATGGCAAAAAATATGATGTTCATCAGATACCTCCACTTACAAATAAAGTTGTTTCTTGCAATTCACTGGCACTTGATTTTTCACTTAGATATTTAAAAATACAATATTTTTTTTTAAAAAGCTCTATTAAATCAAAGTATTCTACTATACACATTGTCCTGTAGATGTCAACCATGTAACAAATGTTTCTTGTGTTATCGAATGTTATTCAGAGAGGTGCTCAGCTAGTGTTCATATAATACACATAAAAATATACAGAAAATTCTAATATAGCCTTATGAGCTGCACTAGGTAATATACATCACTAGTTTTCCCAGATCATTACATGCAACTGGATTCTACAACAGTATTAGAAATGAAAGATAGCTTCACATTTACAAAATTACTGTCCTAACACCAATGCACTTACTAATGAAGCAGACAGAAGAAATCATATTTTAAAAACTGAATACTCACTTTTAGTCAAACATCCACTTAAATAAAATAATTGAAAACCTGTTAAAATGTCCCTGTTTTAATGATTTATGAAATAGTTCTCTCCTCACTGAAAACAACCATATTTAACAAAAGTTAAGTAAGACACAATGATAATTGTCTTACTAAGATGAACACTCGACCTCCTACCCAGCTCTTCAAATCGAGATGCAATGATGTTGAAAGACCACAAAACCAGATATTTCTGTGATGGCAATACCTGAAATGCAATATTGTGACTTCTTGTCATAAACAACTGAGAGGTTATCCCCCACAGAATTTACACTGACTCTCTGTATCAAGGCATAGGATATAGCAGGTATGTTCATGACTAATGGAATTAGCTTCTCTTAAACACAGATGAGAACGCAGAGTTTGATAAATCTGGTTATGAAATAAAAACGAGTTGCTGAACTTGGCGTTTCTAATGACACACGTGGAATCCACACTGCACATCTACTAAATTAACAAGAGATACCTCGGCAGCAGCTGCCACAGCCTCCTTACTTCTTTGCCTTTCTTCATCCAAACATTTGTCCAGCACTTCCTGCAAATGTTATAAAAAATTAAACTGCAATACACAACAGAGGAGTGGCTCAAAATAATTTCAAACTGTCAAAGTGCTTAAGAAAGTTTCCTCTTCCTGTCAATAAGTGTGACAGGATCATTCCCAATGATCTCCATGGTGCTGATCAGATCGCTCTTTTTTTGTTGTAAACAAAAGCAATACCTTGTGCTTTTGTGACTGCTGCATCAAAGCTTCTTCTATCTTTTCTGATAAGACTTCCTTCTCTGCTTCCAGAATGTCAAGAAGCCGTTGATGCTATTGGGAGAAAACATTCATATTATTGTAACCACAGTCTGCTACTAAAACAGATGCAAAAAACTCATCCAAGGTTTCTCAGTTGCTTACAAAATGCCTTTCAATGTAGATTAAGTTAAATTACATAAACAGCACTCCTTTAAATGATTTCATGTAAAGAAAAAAATACAATAATAAGAAATATTTAGCTTCCTGAATATCTAATATATCCTCTAAGTCTGAAGAGTATTAGGAAAGAAGTCGAAAAAAGCAACACACCCAAATGATACAGATGGTTTAAGCAACACAAAACTTTAAATATTTTAAACAGCTGCAGAATTTAAATCACGCTTTTACTACATCTCAGTTATATGTATAGAGAGCAGAAGACAAATGTATTCTTTTCAACCATTTGTGATATCATGAACTTTGAAAACCAGGGAGAAAATGGACACTGAAATAAAGTGACCATGTAGTCTATATCACAACTCACATATTTGGTTTTTTTCACTATATAAAGTAGAGCATTTGAAAGATACAGGTTCTGTCTGTAAGAGCAAAGCTGTTTTTCAAAACTAAAAATTATTACTGGAAATGACTGATGCTAGGTATTTGTCATGAGAGAATTTCTAGCAAGCCAGTACACTTTTTTACATGCTATTTAAGAGATGATATATCATAACCTTAAAGTACAGCATCATTACACAATAATATTTTACAAGATCACCAAAAGGAAAGTGTTACAGTAGAGTTCTTATTAAAATAAGTGTACATAAAGAACATAAATTTTTTACACAAACATTATGCAGGCAAATACCCCTTTCACCAGAATTTCTAATAAACAGTCATTTCTGTTTTACAAATTTTATTATTTTTTAATTTTAAGTGTCTCTAATGGCAGTTAGAAATACATTACCAAACTGCACTACTATGTTCTGAAAAATATTTTTTCATTTGAAGAATAGAAAACTTCTAGACTGCTTTATAAAATAAAACACCTATCTGCCTTTCCAGGATAAACATGTAAAGAGGCATTTCCTTGTGAATTTACTTAAAATAGGTCTGAATGTGGCAGACATATTCTAATGGAAAACACCTGTGGAAGGAATAGTGAAAGTCATGGTTCTACTTAATGATGTGTAGCTCACTTTTCTTGTGGACACAGTATTTTCAGACATTACCTTGAACTATCAGAGCACTTACAGAAATTGCTTTTTTCCAGTAATTCAAAGGTGAAAAAATGAATGGATTTTATTACCTGAATGATCTCCACGACTCTTCACTTGACTAACTGCACAAATGTGTTATTTCACAATGACACAATATAAAACAAACGCAAATATTTTCTCAGATATATCCACAAAGCTTACTAACGTCAAGTAAAAGACTGAATCTTTATTTGCTTGTCAAGAATCAGCAGGGGAGTTTCTAAGGAGAGCTTGTCAGAGAAAATCACCTCTATCCTTAAAGCCCCTTCAAAAGAACAGCAGTCAGCTTGTTTGATGAGAGTTTCTAGACTAAGCCTATCAGCCAGATAATTCCAGTTTGACTCTGACCATCAGATTTCTAGGTTAAATATGAAGACTGTAGCCACATTTCAAGTTGCCATAGTGGGTCAGCTACAAGATGTATTTCACAACATTCTCAATGGGACCACAATTTTCAGCTTTTAAACTTCAGGGCAGTTTAAAAGTTTTATTTTACGTGTATGTATAAGAAGACATCCAAGCCCATCCTGGAAGTCCTGAAACAATGCAGACATTTGCATTAATACAATATAGAATATTTATACATGGCCAATGGAGAAAACTAATGTTAATCCTCCTTGCTGATAAAAACAGTTTTATGACTACAGCCCTCCATGTCATGCACAGCAGTTCACTTTTCATAAACCTGTGGGAGACCTACAAACCTGAAAAATGCAGATATTGGGATCAAAACTTTTTATCATACAGACACCTGAAAAATCCTGATCTCCCTTGCTGCAAAGAGAATGCACAACTAAATCACAGAATGGTTTGGGTTGGAAGGGACCCTAAAGTTCCCCCCTGCCATGGGCAGGGACACCTTCCACTAGACCAGGTTGCTTCAAGCCCCATCCAAACTGGCCTTGAACACTTCCAGGGATCGGGCAGCCACAGCTTCTTTGACCAACTTCTGCCAGTTCTTACCACCCCACAGTAAAGAATCTTTAAAATTCAATTTACTGCTTTTGCTTGAGACTTCTAACTACAAAAAAGTTGCGCAGTAAGTAAACAATTACCACAAAAATGAAGGCTGCTGTGACTGTATTGTGATTAGTTTGACTGAGCAAGGCTCTCCTATCCCCTTGGTAGATTAGATCTAAATGGTATTACATTTGGAGATCTGTGGAATTCACTGACATGAGTAAGAATTTTATTAAGAATTGTATCTGTTTATAAAAACACGCTAGTTCATATTTTTCAAGATAACAGAGGTAAGTACTTGTGAGCATATTTAGAGTGCTTTCAAAAGAACAGTTAATGACTTCTGCCATAATTCAATGCAATTTACTTTACATTAAATAGCATCCCTACTTCTCATGGAAATACAAAATTTAGCATTTCACAACTGTAAGTCTCTTGTGAAAAGCTCGGCATGTCCTTTCCTATTATAATATAAGTGCTTATTCATGTGGAATAATCCTCCCATAGATGATTGTCTCCATATCTGAACTTCCAAAAGTTCATGTATCATCTCAAATATTGCAACAGCTGTCCATAAAACCTTGTAAAGCAAAATCTCTTTTATTAGACCTACACAAATACATGGGAGAACTGTTTATTCGGCTTCAGAATCTCTATTGGGTCAGTTTTGCTTTTCAGAGAGAAGCATACCTTAAGCTATTAAATTATATAAATTAGATGAAAAAATAAGTAACCAGAAACAGAGAAAATGGAATAAAATATTGCACAAACTGCTCCTCCCTGAAACAGGTCTTGAGTCCAGAAAGCCTATATGGCATAGACAGCATGGATATGACATAAAAGCTTCCATTCTGCATGTAATTAACATGCAATTTAATTACTTATCAAGCACTTTTTTCCCAAGGTACTATGCCCCACAGTTTTATCAGCCCTCATAGGGAGCCATAGAATCTCCTTGAAAGTTGTGCTTACAAAAATGATGTAAAGCAAGCTTGGTGGTATTATTAACCCATGTTCTAAAAAAGGATGCACCTCAATGCATCTGAATTCCTCATTACAAAGCATAGTTCTCTCAAAGGCATGTTCATGGATCTTGGTTACGTATATCACTTGAGCAGGAAATCTGGGAAATTAGGGATAGTAAAGGTTTCTGTGCCTTCCCTCTTCTGACAATGAGAGAAATTTTAGTATTTCTGTATAATAACAGCAGTTTGACCGACTTAGAAAAAAAAGCAGTAATTCTAGGAAATGATTAATGAATGTATGAACAGAATTCCAAGCTCTTTGTTTAAATGTCTCTGCATAGAAAATTATTGTAGCCCCTCTGGAACTATTCTTTAATTAGGGCAACCAGCTTTGCTTTCAGATTTTAAAGTAATCTATATACCCTCCCAGAAGTTACTATACCACAGAATCATGCGGTAGGTTACATTTTTAGATGTATGAAGAATGACTTCGGAGTCTGGGACTTAATGGCCACAATGAACTTTATATACGGTCAGTGCTTCCTCAGTTGGTTTTTCAGATGACTTTCATTAAAGGGAGTTGAAGGTTAAAAACAAACAGAAGGTGACAGTTTCACTTCAGCACTTACATATTTGAGACCTTTCAAGTGCCTTTGTATTTTTAGCTAACAGGAATAGGATGTTTTAGGTTCATTTACTTGGCTTGTAGATTTTTGTTGAACTATAGTAAAGGCCTCTTAACCATAGAAACCATTGCTGAATTAAAGATCGTACACACCAAATTAAATGCCTACAGCTAAGCAAACTTATCTCATAACCCTCTCCCTTCTCATCACTAATTAAAGCCATAGGAATGATGTGAGATGGACCAATCTCATTCAGCATTTCCAGTTTCCACAGGTAAGAATTATGAACATGTTCCTCTCTCTGTTAGACAGTATTAAAGGAATAAAGGAACAGCTTTGAGACTTTAAGTACCACTCTGAGCTACATATACACTGAATTTTGATTCCCAAGCATTGGAGAGGCCACTTTCTCTTAGGCTTATCTGGGCATCCACGTTGGAGGTCTCCTGGTAATTGTGCCTGGATAGGCACAATTGACAAATGTGTCAAGAGAATATTGCCTATGCTTCAAAAAGTAAACCTAACAAAAGCTTTAAAGAAAGATTGATCTGCCTCCTGTAAGTAGAATAATGAGTTCATCAGACCTAACAGTCCTATTAAAAATATCCAAGTCTCTTCCAGGTTTCCTATGAAAGCTGTGATGAGGACCTACTCATGGAGCCTTCCATTTTGAAAAAAGCACCTAACCTGTGCAGATTGTCAGACATTGTCCATGAAGTTTATAAATGGAAGTTGAATTGAGGGTTTCCTTTATCAATCAACAATCCAAGAACCAGAAAGCAGGTAAAAAAAATTATAAAAATGGAAACTGATAAAAGTTATGGCTATAGATGAAAAATAAAAGATGTCCTGAACTGGAAATATGATGCACAAATCAGTGTGAGACCAAAATAAATCTCAGTGAAAACTCCAGAGCAACAAGAAAGTTTTCATCCAGTGCAATTTTGCAAGGCTGCACATTCCCACTGTTGTCTGTAAGGCCCAGTAGATAGTGGAATATTATGTAGAGATAGTCAGAGAGACGTAAAAAACCTTTAGCTTAGGTACAAAAAATTGTATAGCTCTTTAATGCATGACTTTACCTGATTTCCATAGCATAGCACTCTTATTCTTCTTCCTTAAAAAGTTATGTTACCTCCTTTTATCCCTTAGTCAGGGAGTATAGGGTTAAGAGTGCAAAATTCTGAGCTGTAAAAAATTCTGAAGAGCAAATTCTACTGGGACATCATGACCCGGTGAGACATAAGAGATTTCCAAAAAAA